GGTCGGTAGGTAGGTAGGTAGGTATGTAGGTACGTAGGTATGTCGAGATGTCGGGAGCTAGATGCAAGATGGAATAGAATCATTTCCTTTTCTACACGAGGTCTCTCTCTCTCTCTCTCTCTCTCCCTCCTCTCTCTCTCGCACCCTAAACCGTAAACCCCGAACCCCTACACCCCTAAACCCTAAACCCTAGACTTCTCTCTCTCTCTCTCTATCTCTCTCTCTCTCTATCTCTCTCTCTCTCTCTCTCTCTCTCTTTCACTGGAACTTGCATGGTCCAGGCCGGATGATGGCAGCAGCCTTTCCAGCTGTACCCTCGGACTGCCCTGGATGTTGTCACAGTGACTTCGGGGAAAGTTCATGCGGCTCTGGGGGTCTAGGGTTTAGTGCTTAGGGTTTACCCATAGGCCCCTAAGTAGTTCCTTTTTGGGATTATTTTATAGGAGTCTATATATATATATAAACCATAAAAAGGAACTACTTAGGGGCCTAGGGTTTGGGGGCTGAGTGTTTAGGAACCGAGCAGCGGTTCCATCCGAGTATCAAGCTGGGGCCGCAAGGGTCGTCGTGGAGCATGGAATCTTGGGTTGGGCGTCTCATGACCTCGTTCAACTTTGAGGCTGTGTGCGTTTGGATGTTAAGGTAGAGCCTTAAGGACGAAATGAACTCCAAAAGGTTTCAGGGGTTCATATGCCATATAGGGACTCATGGTATAAGGGTATAGGGCCCCTACTTTGAAGGGTTATTTCGTCCTTGAGGAAAGCCGGTCTTGTTTATGCCCTGGAAACGCTCGACCTTGCGGCTCAGATCAGACGCACAATAACTTGTGTTCCAGCAGATGCCAGGCTTCGTCGAGTAGATCATGCAGAGTCCTTGATTTCTCTGGTACGCTTGTCTGGTTTTCAGGCATACTGCCAATGCGAGCTCGATGCCTTTTTGTCGGCACAGTTCTTCTTGGATCTGCAGGCTTTTGGTGGATTTCAGAGTCCCCCAGCTTTGAGTCACTCCGTGCAGGCGTTGCAGGCTCTTTGGCTGAAGCTCCACGAGCAGACTTTGCCGAAGCAGCGCGGGAGAACCGATCAACTGAGCCTCACCTCGCTATCGACGGCGACATCCGAAGCAACGACAGCACGATCTCGCGTGCTGAGCCTGAGTTGCTAGAGATTGCTGTTGAACCGTCCACATCTGTGTCTCAGTCAGCAGCCGACGTGGAGCCGACGACCTCCACGACACCGTGCATGGAACCTTCGCTTCCTCCAGCGCTGTCAGATGCCGACGCGGCAAGCCTGAGAGCAGCCGTCAAGAAGATGACGAAGAAGTGGGGATATGAGGAGGCCGAGAAGAACTTCAAGCCGTTCAAAGGTTTGCGCTTTCTGGATATTGGTATGGGCCAAGGACCCATGGGCGTTGTAGCCATGGAGGCAGGTGTGCAGTCCTATTGGGGTTTCTGGGTTCCTGTTAAGCAATACCGTTTGTATAATCCCTAAACCCCTACCCATAGGCCCCTAAGTAGTTCCTTTTTTGGGATTACCTTCTAGGATTCAACATGTAAACCACAAAACGGAACTACTTAGGGGCCTTTGGGTAAAGCCTAATCCCGTTAACCCTACACCCTAAACCGCCTAAACCCCTAAAGCCTAAACCCTATAAATCCTAAACCGCCTAAACCCTACTACCCAGGTTTGGATCCTGCCCTGTGCATCAACAAGCCTGCGCGGACGCGCAACAGAAGGATCGGCAGAACGCCGAGCGAAGGTGACTCTGTGCTAGTAGTAGAGTAAGTAAATGTACTTCTGGTTCGTATGTATACATTATATGATTTTATATATATATATATTATACACATATATATACATGTATATACACGCATATCTACATGTATGCATGTGTGTATGTCTGTATATTATATGCTCATAATTTTGTATATTTGTCTTTCAGATACTTATTTATATATACATATGGATGCACATACTAACCTTATTCTGAATGAGAAAAAGTAACACCGCTTAAAAGGAGCCCACGTAAGGGCCTAAACACAAAGTTATTGAACCCTAAACTCTAAAGTACTAAACCCTACCAGCACCCCCCCCCCCAACTACCCTCTATCATACCCTAAGAACCCAGTATTAAGGATCATAGGGGCTCTATTAAACGGTACTCGGGGGGTGCTGGTAAACCCCAAACCCCAAGTTGCCAAACTCTAAACCCTAAATTACCAATCTCTAAGCCGTAAATGACCAACCCCTAAACGCTAACGCCCTAAACCCTATAAACCCTAAGCCCGAACTTCCTAAGCCCCGACCTTATCCCCTTTTAACCTACCTTCTTTAAGGACTTATATAAAGAAGGCATAATAAGGAGCCCTAAAAAGGTTGGTTCTTTAGGGTCCAGGTAAACCCTTTCAGGTGAATGCAAACAACTCCTGGGACCGACGTGCAAAACCACTTGCGCACAGTACCAGCGTTGTATCTAGGCGGCACCTTAAGGACGAAATGAACCCTAAAAGGTTTCAGGAATCATATACCACATAGAGATTCATAGTATAGGGGTATAGGGCCCCTACTTTTAAGGGTCATTTCGTCCTTAAGTCAGGGTTTAGGGTGTAGGGTTTAGGATTTTGGGGTCCAGGGTATGGGGTTGGGGGTTTTAGGGGCTTAGGGTTTGTAGGTTTAGTAGAGTCACTAGTTTGTATGAAGGAGCTACAGATTGGAATGTTTAAGACCCTGCAAGTGCAACCCAGGTATGACAGCGGCAGCTGAGAAGTACGGCACATTTCCTGTCACTGGCGTTCAAATCATGCAAGCCTTCCCAGGCAGGGACACGGGGGTGGATGTTTCCTGGTTTGCATTCCGGGTCAACGCAAAAAAACATCAGGGGTGTCCCTAAACCCTAAAGCCTAAGCCCTAAACCCAATACCCTGAGCCCTAAACTCTAAACCCAAAACCCTAAACCCTTGTCCTGGGTATGTATGGGGCTGGCACTGCATGTTGTTTTGTTCACAGCTTTGCGGTTTAGGCTGCTATATTTGGAGGAGCATGAGACTTAGTAGGTAAAGGGTAAAAGTTATTAGGGTTTAGGGTTTAGGGTTTTTTTTGCGGATAGAAGTCCTGATTTTTTTGGGCACCTTATGTATAACCCTAGTTACCAGAGTCCCACGGTCCTTCAAGTAGCTTGCTATGTATCCCCGGCAAATGGAAGCTCAATATATCAATACTCCATTCCTAAGCCCTAAACCCTAAACCCTAAACATTCCCCAGGAAAAGTGATTCTGCTTCCCGGCACTTTCGAAACAATTCAGCCGACTGGCCTCATTAAGCGTGGCGACTTCGATGCGGCCGGCATCTAGGTCCCCCAGTAGTACCCTTTTGCCCTTTCTCTTTGTGGGTTCCCTTATTAAAACCAAACAGTAGGAAAAAGGGTACCCTTATTATTAAGGGGCTGCTGGGGAACCTAGGCATGTTTATGGTCAGCGAGCACTTGCCGGATAACCGGCTTGTGGTGGAAGGTGTCTTTCAGTGGACGAAGCCTGGTCAGCTGTTCTACATCAAGCATCATAACTACTATGGTTTCGATGGCCATCATCAAGAGCTGAAGGACCCTTCAGCCTTTGATCCCAAGAATGCTGCGCATCGAGGCGTCGCATTTTGGAATCACTTGGAGCCCTCCAGTTGGATCTTCAACAGCTCCGATATGAATCGGATCAGACTGGGGGATCTCATGGCCTTAGTTCACGTTTACTTCGAATGCGCCTGGCGTGCAAACATTGACTTAAAATGGGCCAAGGCACTTGACGACAGACCGGAGTTGCTTCAATCGCTCGAGCGACGTGGATTCGCTCATGCAGAGCTGCTGGTTAACAAGTGGGCCGGCTCCTGCCAAAGACGCGAGGAAGCTCTGGATGCCCCCTGGCTGGCATCACGGATGTGGTTTCATCCCCCATCGAACGGCTCCTATTCACCGAGGCCTTTTCCCAAAGAGTTCAGTCTCAAGAACCTCGAATGTGGGCACAGCTTGAAGAAGCACAAGCAGTACCCCCTGGATGGTATTCTTTATTCTCCACCTGGGCGTGGCCATCGCTTGGCGAAGTACCTCTCTGCAGGTCCTTCGTGCCCATAGCAGGTGAGATCGCGACATGCATCAGAACCCCGCCCTCAGCATGAATCCATGCAGAAGCTGCTGGGCTCTTGTTGAGGATTTCCGTATTATATGCTGCCATACTAGGGATCTATTTCTTGCTAACGAGTTTTCGTTTGTGTTACGACACCATGGAAAGCCCCAATGTTCCTATAGATCCCAAATCTGGTATCTTAAGCTAGCTTCCTTAACAACCGCCCAGGGCGCGACGAATACTTGACCCGGAGCGCACCCGGTGCGGGTGGAAGGATACCTAGGATCTCGGCTTATCGAATGGGAGATCATCGAAGCTCACGGTGGCGCCCTTGCCTGGCGCATGCTTGAAGGATCGTGGGACTTAGTGGATAGATCTATAACTAAAGGTAACTATAGTTATACACACTTATAACCCCAATTAAGGTACGTATAACTTTTCTTGCTGAGTCCCACGAACCTCCAAATGCTGGACCATGGACTATCTCTTCAAGATTGCACAGGTCCTGTGAAGGTCCTAGTATGCTCCTCGTCGCCATGGCATGCTTGCTGAGTGGACCTCCGTGGCGAACGACGTTCAGACCTACGCATCACCAGCATCGAGCTCGAATGCTCCAGCTGTAATGGTGGCTATGCAGCCTTTCGGAACCCGCAAGCCGAGAACGCCAAGCCTTAAACCCTAAACCCCCTGGCGCTAACCCTATACGTCCTGAAAACCCTAAAAGCCGACACCATAGACGAAGAATCCCACGCCTTCTGAAAAAAAACAAGAAGTGGGTTCTTGTTAAGGAACCTGGTTCAAGTTACCATCATCATAGTCTACAGTAACTAATAATTGTCTGTATTTTCTTGACTTAAAGTCAAATCCCTTAACAAGAACCCTTAACAACAAGAACCCAGAAAGCACACCGAGACCAAAGAAGCCCTAAAGCGTGTGCTCACATCCAACCGGCGCGCAGGAAAAGAGGTGGCCAGAGCATTGGGTGTTAGGTTAATGGTTTAGGGTCTAGGGTTTGGGGTTTAGGGAGGGCGCCCCCGCACCATAGGAGCCTTAACAATTCGAGCAGGGTTTCTTTAAGGGTTCTGTTCAAAGGGTTCTTGATAATCAACTGCCAGTTACTATGAGGGAGGGCTTAGTATAGGAGCCTGATATGCTTAGCAGAATATGGCTTCGGAGTATACGATGTAGCAGAACCATCTTGCAAAACCCTTATAATGAAGTAGTACTAGTACTAATAGTAGTAGTAGTAGTAGTAGTAGTAGGAGCAGTAGGAGCAGCAGCAGCAGCAGCCGCACAAGCAAGAGGCATCCCTATAACTTGCCCAAATTCGCATCTGTGGTTCCTTCGAACGATGGATTACAGAAACCTAAACCCTAAATCCTAAACCCTAAACCCTAAAACCTTAACCCTAAAACCCTAAACCCTTAACCCTAAAGCCCTAAGCGCTAAACCCTAAACCCTAAAAGGGGGGGGGGGCTCCATAGGCTCATGGGGTGTTCTACAGGAGTTCTAAAGGGGCCTGACAGACCTGACACAACTTATATACTACGGCTGATGATCGAAATCCTGCATTACCCATAAAGGTTTAAGGGTTTTGGGGTTTTAGGGTTTTTAGGGTTTGTGGGCTTAGGACTAGGATATAAATCTTGCATTGCCCATAATTAATAAGGACTATACCATATTTCCCCGAGTTTAGGGTCCTTAAGGTAATGCAGGATTGTTATCATCAACAGTATGTTTGGGGTTTAGGGTTTAGGATTCCTGATTAAGGCTCCCTATTCTGAGTGTGCTAATGCTTGGGGTTCAGGGTTTAGGGTTTAGGGTTTCGAAACCCGATTTTAGCTAGAAAGTTTTATAAAGAAACCATAAAACCCTGCTCCAGGATTTGCGGCCCCTAATTTGGGGTCTATATGAATGCCTCACGAAGAAAAGACCGTGCAGCACATCTCATTGCGACAGGCCTTTGGGTTTGAGAGTAGGGTCTAGACCTACCTTAGTTAATCTAGCAAGCCTGCTTGTTGACACTTGTAGGGCTTGCTTAGGCTCTGATGGCGATATTTTCTTTGAGCCCTGTAGCCCTAAGCCACAAACCCCACTTACCCAGACCACCGGAAGGATCTAAAAAATAGATCCCCTAAGGGGGTTGCCGTAGTGGTCTAGTGGTATAGGGTCCCAAATTAGGGGATCTACTTTTTCGTTCCTTCCGGTGGTCTGGGTACACCCCCCAAACTACCCTCTGAGTGCACCCTAAGTACCCGCAATGAAGGACCATGAGGGCTCTCTGAAAGGGCAGTTGGGGGTCCTACTGTTGATGATACAAATCCTGCAGTGCCCTTCAGGACCCTAAACTCTAGGAATTATGGTATATTCCCTATTATGGGTAATGCAGGATTTATATCATCAACCGTAGTAAACCGTAAACCCTACGCCCCCCTAAACCCTAAACCCTTAACCCTACGCCCCCTAAACCCTAAAGCCTAAACCCTCAACCCCAAACCCCAAACCCTAAACCCTAAGAAGCATGGGACTGCTTCTCGCCGAGGATCTGCAGAGAGCGAGGAGGCCTTCTGAGTTTGCTTGCTTTCATAGAGTCCTACACTTAGATAGCCAATGGGAGAACTTTAAACTTGTTGGCGTTTTATATATTATGTAGGTCTATTCTAAAAAGTTTGATTTTTTTTGGGCCTGGTTGTTGAAGAAGAGAGTATAAGAGTTCTACAAGGCTTCCTAGGTTTCCCTAAGCCCTAAACCCTCAAACCCTAAACCCCAAACCCCAAACCCTAAACCCTAAGCCCCGAACCCTAAACCCTAAACCCTGAAACCTAACCAGGGTTTTGGGTCCTCAAGGGCTGAATGTTCAATGTTTTTGCAAAGGGCATTGTGGTTGGAGTTTGGGCGTTGCCTTTACAAGTCTGTCCGCATATTCGTGGTCTTTTCATGAGTTTCGGTGCTCCTTTACCGGTAAGAGGTTACCAGGTTTCGGGATTCTGATTCAGTTTAGGTCGCTACGGGGTTTGCGATGCAAGATTCTAGGACATGTTCAGGTGGGTAGTTACCGCTATAGGAGCCTTATAGAAGGTCTATATGAGATGGGGTCAAAAATATCGTTAATGTAGTTTAGTGTAGAGGGTAGTTGTTGAGCCAGAACCCCCAAGATCGATAGGGGACACGCTAAAACGACAGGGTTACTTATACTTTGGTCCCTGCAAGTGCCTTAGGCAAATTCCTCGGAAAACGATAGGGGGCGCCTGCAGTTCAAAAACATAAGCAGCATGAACAAGTAATTTTGACGCCGACTCATATACCTTATGGAAGCCTTATAGAAGCCCTATGTAGCCTAAACTCCCCACCTGTAGTTTCCTTTAACTCATAGACTGAACCCTAAATAAACCCTAAACTCCCTAAACCCTAAACCGGGTGGGGGCGCCCGTAGATTCGTTTGCATGGCGAAGACGTTAAGCACTGCATCGCGCTGAGCTGCACCCTGGCAGAGAGGATCCAAGAGACTGGGGCAGTCATGCCGGTTAAGGGGTTTGGGTTTAGGGTTTAGGGTTTGGGGTTTTAGGGTTAGGGCTTTAGGGGTTTGGGGGTTTAGGGTTTAGGGGTTTAGGGTTTAGGGTTCATTTTCGGAGTCCGCTGGGATGCACTTAGGCTTAGCAGGGTGTCGCGGATCTTAAACCAAAAAGTTCCAAATCTCTACCCCCATCCCATCCACAGGCTTTTGCCACCCTAAACCTTCCACCCAACACCCTGAAGCAAACGCTTCAAACCCTACATCCTAAACCCTGAACCCTAAACTCCTAAACCCCTAAACCCCTAAAGGCCCTTACTAAACCCCTAAACCCCTAAACCCTACACCCTCAATCCCCCGAAAGATGAGCCCTCCCTCCCCTTTTGACGACCCTGCACCCCAAAGCCCTGCCCTGAAGGAGCTCTGCTCCCTTCCCAAGCGCAGGGTTTAGGGTTTAGAGTTTAAGGGTTTAGGGTTGAGGGTTTAGGCGTTTAAGGTTTAGGGGTTAGAGTTTAGGGGTGTAAGGTTTAGGGTTTAGGCTCTCCAAGACCCCTTAACTAAGGAATATCCCTTAAATCATATCAGGTTTCCAATTACAATTTAAAATTAGGAGACATTGTTTCGAAAATAATACAGTAAGGGTTCCTATTAGCATTTAAGAGACATTATGTCTAAAATCATATAAATCGGGTTCCTATTATGATTATAGAGACGTTCATTTCTAAAGTCATGTATAATAAGGCTTCCTATTCTCAGGGAAACTCCTGAAATTAAGGGCTCTTGGAGACTCCGGGCTCTTGGGAGGACGGCGAGCTCTGCATCTCCGGCAGACAGGCGGCTTTAGGGTCTAGGATTTTAGATTTAACCCCTAAACCCTAAACCCCTGGGTTTAGGATTTAGGGTTTAAGGCTTCAGGCCCTAAACCCTAAAGCCTAAACCCCAAACCCCTAGGTTTAGGGTTTAGGGTTCCGGGGTGGGCAGGGGAGAAGCGAAGTCCGAGAGGGGCTGCTTCAAGGGTTCCCCATTCGGGTCCCTTTACGGGATCTCTGCACGGTTCCGTTTAGATTCCGACACACTTAGTAGCTGAATGAGTACACTTTTTACATGTTTTTGGGGATAATACGATCCATCATAGAACTGACAGTGTGCGTTTTCTTATGTGCGTATGAACTCAGCAGTTATAAGGAAAGGGCTCCTTTAAGGGATCTATAAGGGTTTTAATTACAGGTAACACAATATACTCTTACCCTTACCCTCAAAGGACTCATATTTTACGGCTTTTGGGCCCAAAGACCCTATTAGATGAGGCTTTTGGGCTATTTTGATGCTAAGGGTTACTGAAAGGCTTCTTGCCAGGGTTCTGTAGACGTTTCCTTTAAGGGGTGTACCATGGGGATCTATACTCGGGTGCTCTGTAAGGGGTGCTATGGGGGTTCAACAGTAGGGTTCCCTTAAAGACCGCTTTTCTGACATCTACAAGATTCTACGGGGTTTCAG